ATTTCATAACAGTTGAAATATAAGTAGAGTTAGAAATGGTAACCGGCAGGACAGCATCGATGTGTTGAAGTTAGCGTCAGCTATCCTTACTCAGAGCAAGATGACACCGATGTATCTGTTCATCCACGCAAATAGCTATCAGTCTGCTAAGGACCATAAATCAATCAATACGGGCTCCATAAATGAGACTGCTGCACACCTCTTAATGAATGTTTACGTAGGCAGAACCGCAAGTCCACCTCATCCTCAAACCGACTGTGGCACACTATCATATAAATCAACATGCTGTAGAGGTGTTTCAAAGACAAGTGAGATCCAGTCGCGTGATGTCAGTTATATTCTGCCAATCCATCTGATCTGTGACGAAAGTGAGTTAAATTGCACCCACCGGTTAGTGGTGTCATTTGAAAGTTTCATACTGTCTGTAGGCTTGTCTGTCCACATGCAAATCCGAGGTTTCTAGAGTTTGTGCTATTTCAGTTTGTAATCTGTCTCTGTATGATGTCTAAGTTGAACAAAGAATATATGTCTATATGAGATGTTTTTGGTGAATTAATTCAGTAGAAAATGCCAAACATCCTCATGCAGAAGAAACAGACAGCTGCTCTCTTGGTCTCGTGAAACATCCTCTGAATATTTGGCTACTGAGATTCATCTCATGGTTTAAGTTGCCTATCTTCACTTATTTTATTACCAAAATGTCTACAGGATGATAATACATAAATTTTCATGCATTCATGGGAAAACCCTCTTACAATACAGTCTACTATCTACTAACAACATATAAGTAGGTTGTGGAGTCACATTTAAATCTCTATGCTTTCTCGATTTCATCGTTGCTAATTATTTACTCTCTCGTTATTAACGGAAATCCTCAGTACAAAAATTGTATCAAATACTTCTCACCTATTTTAGAATGACAGTGTACTGATAACTCCCTTGTAAATGTTGACAGGAATTACATTCCGACTAGGCAATTGACAGCAATAATCACAATAGTGCATTTAAAATGACGGTTAACACTTTCACTCAGGTTAGGAGAACCGACGAAACACGAGATTTTCTTAGACAAACCGGTTAATCGGAGCATTTTACGACGGGATTTCTTCTAGATATTCGCATAATGTCAGATGAAACCCAGAAGCAGCACACTTACTGGAAATTAGGAAGGTGAAATGATGGAATACAAAATGACATCATGAGTGTGAAAAATGACTAATGAATCAAAATGGACAAAGCCTATTGGAACTTTGGCAAAGTGTTTACAGAATAATCTGTATCTACATCACAAGGTAATCGACGAAAACAATAAGAATGTTGACAATGCTAATAATAAACTCAATGAAATGAAACAAAATTAATTTGAGAACATTAATGTGGCCACGGTAGTGTCAGTAAGTGTATGAAGTCCTTTTTTACTGGTGTGTGGACAGCCTGCCGTAAATGAATACAGAGAAGGTTGTAATGAAAGACAAATTACATAAGACTCATTTTTAACAAACACGACAGGAATCATTTTATGCATTCACTTTTGCATTGAGTGCAGTAATGATTCACAGACATTCGACGTTTCTAATCATTATTTGTTATCACCTCGAATGATGTTTTAATCGCAATTGCATATCCTACTACCATTCAATTGCAGAATATTAGCATAGAAATATTCAACTGTGGAGTTTCCAAAAATGATTTTACCACCGTGCCTGGCATTCCCAAAACAAACTTTGGACTGTCATTCAGGTTATTCTTACTGACGAAGTATTATGTAATGCTGCAGAAATATGTCGGTTGCCACCAAAAAGACCATTTATTTAGGTGCGTGAAACTCTCAATATGGAAAGATAATGCTCTGCATTATTGTGATGAAACGGTCAGTAGCATGAATGTTGCCGCATATACTGTGTATTCATTTCGATGAAGTTTTCATTTACATTCTAGAATATTTGAAGAGTATTTCTCAGGAATAACAATTCTCGAGAAACATCTAATTTCTGCTCTGTTTGACAAGATGTTTAAAATACGTTTGGCAATATTTTGTTGTGATACAAACCAAATACGTTGTGATGATGATAATGAACGTTATAGAAGGACATTTGGTACCTTTATCTGTTAATTTCGAAAAGTCCTGCTTGAATGGATTGTGGAATGCTTACTTTTACTGATACTTATGTAAAGTTACACCTGACTGATAGAATTCAGTTTGCATGAAAGGAGGGACTGGACACATCACACTAGTTACCGACTAGTATCCAATCAAGTTATCCTATACATTCAGTCCTACAGGAGGTCGATCGCGAGTCCGAATAGTTCAGTGGTGACGTCTCTGACTTCTGGCAGCACCGGGTGACGCGGGTTTGAATCTTAGGAGGGACATGAGTTCCTTCGACGTTGTAGATACGCCTTGCTTACGAATGCCAGCTAGCACGAAACTCAGGTCCACGTCTTCCTGCCGATTGCCTCCAACCATCTAATATCATCAAATCAATGAGAAACATGATAGCGATCTACCTAGAATGGTGGCCAAATTGCAAACCTGGCTGATAGAATTCAGTCTGCACAAAAAGAAAGCACTAGACGCATCACATTAGTTGCTAGTGTCCAATCAAAGAGCTACACTTAATTTGTCTATGTTTATCAAGTGAAGTAGCAAGGACCATGTTGATTGAAAAAGATGATATTTTGTAGCCACTGTAATTCTGTCATACACTTACATACGTTTCATAAATATACGAGCATTGAAATAATGTTTATATGAAAATTGGTTGATATAAAATAATGTTTTGCACCAAGAATGTGCATAAACGAAGGTCGTTATGGGGTATCTCATGAAATGTAACCCAACGGAATACTGATGTGATCTGCTAACATATATTTAAATACAGGATTTTTGAAAACATCAACGGAATATTGGAGCAGCTGACTCTGAATTTATGAGCTTATCTTATGTCAACACAAGTGGAGTAATACCTTTAACCATTGACCGTAATTTGTAAAAACCACTGGTGAGTTTTGTTCAAAATGATGGCGCCAATAGAGAAACTTGACATTAATGCCAGTGATGGCAAAAGTTTAAATTGATGATTCAAATTTAGGAACGAAAGCTCAAAACACTCTGACGGCACAGATATTTCATATCAACAAATTAGATAGAAATGTCATAAAACAAACAACGGTAATTACAGGGATGAAGTAACTAGATAGTAAGTCTGAATAAATATTACAAATACTGTTTTCCTTTTTCATTCCTCTACTTTCTCAGTGGAACACAGCGCTTCAAGCTAGAGAGGCTTGAAGTTTTGGTAGCATTGGTGTCGACGTTTTCCGAGATAGGGCTTCCACTCTCATTCTCAAATGTCCTTTTTTAATAGTCTTATTATTGACATAGCAAGGTAAAGGAGTGCCACAGCCAGGGATCGAAAACCGCGTGGTTGGTGAGCGTTTGACCGCTGTGCCACTAACTAAGTACAAATACTGTGAAATACATGAAAAATATAGATGAAACGTAGAAACCCAGTGGAGAATACCGGTATTAAGTATACCATGAATGCAGTAGAGACAAAGGTATAGCACAAGTTGTTTCTTCAATTTTAGGCTGTTCAATTTTAAAATTCGAATACCTTCGGCTGTTTTAATCAGATGACTTTGAATCCTATTCAAAAAATACTGTAAGACTTTATCAACAACCTTGTATGTATTGTTCTTAGAAATGGTGTGACTGTATCAATCAAATAGTATATGACATACCTTTGTAAAATGTAATGGGAGTACAAGCATCTAAAGAGTATTCCGTCAAAATGGAGGATAAATGTGAAATGTACACTCATGTGACATATCAGAATTAGTTCCATGTGAGCATTAAGTGGAATTCTGCCACAGAGTAAATTTATTTGATAAAATCACACAGTGCTAGCGTATTAATTATTGATGACGTTTCAAGAAATATCTACTGCTTCTCATAATCATATCAAGGCACTTACATAACTCTCAAACTTTGTTCATATAATTTCATTATTGCCTACACTTTGATTTTATTGGTCGCAATGTTTTCCATATATTTGGTAGTGATTTGAGTTGTTGCTATTGAATCTGTTAGGTATAGTTTCGATGAACAACGACTCAGTGATCAACTTCTTACCTCACCTACCTATTTTACTTTCTAGAACTGCAGCTCTGTCTCATACTCTTGTGTGACTTTGGGTAAGCGTATGCACTGCAACCTCTGAGTTTTTCTATTAGCTACTCACCTTTGTCAGATTAATCATTTAAAACTCAGCTAAATTCATTTGTTCCAATAATCTGACTACCCGCGATCTACTGGTTTGACTTCATTAGTTGATCTTACAGTCCCTGGGAGGTGTTTTGTACATTATATTATTTTGTCTTATTGGATCAATAGGGTCCACTGGCCTTTAGCTCTTCAACCCTCGGAGAAGATTTTAACTGACATGGTGACAAGGATAATAATGCATCATTTTAAGGCATTTGTAATTCACCATTATTTAAACTGTAATACCTTATTCTTACCACAGTTAACACAATCTCCATGACATTATATTCTTCTATGGAAAGTTTGCTTATTTGAAAGCTCACATAGTCAATTATTATAATTTAACAGAGGACAGTATGAGTGCTGCTTACTTCCCACCATCATACTGTACATTATGTAATGCGAATAAATACCTGCTAAACTTCCAAAATAATACATTGTACCCTTGTTCTTTGTACTTCAGTATGATTAACAATAGAACAAGGTCAACATATAGTGACCATTTCTATTTTATTTGCTGTCGAACTATAAATCGCACACACCAGTAGTTTGAGTGATCACGTCTTATGAGAATTCCATGATATATCAGTATGTATTGTCTTGAAATAAAGCAAATCTCTATTATTATTTTCAAAAGATAAATACAGTTCAATGTATACCTCATGAAGTAATTATGTTTTGTCTATTTGTTTTAATATTTTTCTAGACAAGGATTGCAAAATCTTCACGTTAAATGGTTTACTCATGGTATCAATTCTTCTGGGGAACAGTAGTCGGGATTTTGATACTGACCAGCGACATAAGTTGTACGGATGACTCATCAGAAGATACGTTCACTGAGAGTAAACGCTTTCTGTTAGCTCTTCCAACACCTAAGAGATTAAGTTCACCTACGAATTCATTCAATCGCTATCGACGCCCTATGAATGACTATTGGCGTGAACCATATAGTGATTATTGGAATCCAAGCACTGATGAATTTTATAGAGAAGATAAACGATTTCTATTGGGTTTACCATCAAAATCTGTGGATAAACGTTTCCTCCTGGGTTTGCCGTCATCATACAGACATCAGAAAAGATTCTTTCTAGGCCTACCACCACCACCAAGTAGATCTGCTTCTTAATGAAATAATACTAACACTCACATCAATTATGTGCATACGCATTGGTGATACAACATTTCTGAAGAAATATAAATCATGATAGACCAATATTATTTTGTGTAATATGACCATAAGTATAATTATAATAAAAAGAACCATGGTTATGAATAGCCCTACTTTTGTTCTTATGAGTTGATCACGGATTGATATCAGTTAGATAACCATTCAAAACCAGGGAGTACTGGACAGGTGTTTCATCCTAGTTTGGGAATCATCGGCAGTACGCATCCACTGGGGTGGATATTTAACCAACAAATACGCTTAAAATAATAGTCATAATGATGATAAGAGCGTGCAGAAATAATGTCTGTTTGCTGAGTCAAAGGCACACCACTAACCCTACTAACAGTTTTCAGTGTCTTACGTTATATAATATCGACTTTTTTGAGAATTCTAGGGAACAATAAGGGTGAACAATGAGGAAGAATGGACCGAATAAACTAATTAATAAGTTGTAAGAGAAGAGTTATGGTTCCAGAAAGTCACAACTTCTTTATGTAATAAGTCAGACGGGAAATCTTTTGTGAAATCAGCAGGATATGAGGTGACCGTCAGAGATTCGAAAATAAATTGATGCGGTGAGAAGAGAAACTCAGTGTACTCCCCATCACAGTGCCTTCAAAATCAAGGGAATCATCAGACTGAATCAGTCCACGCGAGTCTTGTTCGTTTCTGCAACTAAAATCAATAATATGATGTTTAGATGGATTCAGTTTAAGACCATTTAGGTGAGACTATTTGTCAACTTCAGATAAATATCTGTTCATATAAGAACAATGGAAAGCAGAAACTACTGACACAGAAATGGTTAAATCAACGGTGTATTTAAAGAAGTCAGCTTTGCAAGAATATCGAAAGTCATACAAAAGAAAGAGAAAAAAATGGAGAGAGTATAAGGCCTTATGACACACCAGTTTCCGTTAGCAACGAAGTGAAGCGCTTTCCACCCAAAACAGTATGCTGATTTCTACTCGAAAAATTAGATGACAGCCACCTTGTGACCAAAGTCTCAGTGTTTGCTGAAATCAGCTTGCTTAGTAAAGATGAACTAAAACAGAGTCGCCTAAATGGGTGCATCGGTGGAACAATGGTTAGGATGCTCGCCGACTATGCACATGGTCTGGGGTTCGATCCCCGGCCGACGCACTAGTCCTTTGCCTCGCTAAGCCAGTAAAGAAATGCTGGTAAAGAAGAGAGGTTGGGCATGAGGCTAGTAATCCCTACCTGTAAAAATAAACACTGCTACAGAAACTTCAAGCTGGTCTTAGCTTGAAGCCTTATGTCCCATTGGGAAGGTGAAGGAATAAAAAAATAGAGTCGTCAAAAGCAACGGTGTAGTCGTAAAAGGAGGCTTGAACAAAACTGTGCGCATTTATCAAAACTTGAAACAAAATTGTGTTGGAGTACAGTGGCAGCATCTAACATGCTTCTACTGCATTTGTAATCAAACTGCTTTGCGTCATTAGAAAATTTCAAAGAAGCTCCAAGAACATGGTTTCTCTATGGTTTTCAAAAGTGGAGACATGATAGCGATAGGTTTGAAATTTAGGCCGAATCCAGATGACTTCCGTACAGGCACTGCCTTCATTTCTATCCAGGCAACAGGTACTGCATCCATGTGAAATGATGCATCAAAGGTTTGCGTAACAGGATAGTACAAAATACTGTCACATTTTTGAAGCTAAATACTTGGGACACCACACGGAACTTGCTGTTTTTCTGGATTTAGGGATTTGAGTGAGACATATCAACATATCCCTTTCATTAAAACCAGTGAAATGATCATTGACGGGACTAGAAACATCAGGTTCAGTCATATTAGCTTGTTGCATTATAAAAGATTTATCTAGGGAATTTACAACAGGATAAGCATCAATTGAAATTTGTTTTCTGCTTCTAAGTTGATTAAAAAGTTTCCCATTAGACAAGCCATTGCTCAAGTGGAACCCGAAAGGGAAGCGGTGAGTTGGTCGTCAGTGCAAGGGTGACTTGGAGGTGGTCATGTGAAGAGGAGAAGAAAGCATGTGCGCAGACATGGAGCTAGGTGAAAACTCTAGCAGAGAACCGAACGCAATGGAGATGCACTGCTGAACCCCTATGTTCCTCTAGGAATTAACGAAAACAATAATAGTAATTATTCTGTAACTGATAGGTATAAATTATGTGGTTGTTATTAAACTAAGACACCAGGTGATAACAAATAATGATTACAAATGTCGAATATCTCTCAGTCTTCAATAAACTCAATGCACAGAAAATGGCAAGGTTACTCTACTATGCTAAGGTGACAGCACAAAATGATGATGATAATGTTTCACAACGAAACATTATTCCTAACAATTAATCTTTTATTTTTCTAGGGTGAAAATAAAATTTTCATTGGAATTAATACACAGGAGCTTCAGCAACATGCAGAGATGGATTTACACCTTAATACTGTTGTCCGTTTTATCACATTAACAGACAGCATTATCTTCCCTTGTTCAGAGTTTCATGTAGACAAAAAAGAAGTTGTCTCTTTAGTGTAAACCGAAATATTATTTCAGCAAAATATAATACTTCTTTAATAAGGAAGATGTAAATGACAGTCCTCAGTGTGTTTTGAGAATGCCAGGAACAGTGGTAAATTTATTTTGCGAAACTCCACAGTTGAATATTCCTAAGCTAGTATTCTGCAACTGAATGGTAGTAAGATATGCGATTGCGATTAAAACATCATTTGAGTTGATAACAAATAATGATTCAAATGTCGAGTGTCTGTGAATCAGTAATGCACTCAGTGCAAAAGTGAATGCATAAAATGATTCACGTCGTGCTTGTTAAAAAATGTATCCTATGTAATTTGTCTGTCATTACAACCATCTCTGTATTCATCCACGGTAGGCTGTCCACACACCAGTTCAAAAGCACTTCATACACTCACTCGCACTACCGTGGCCACAGTAATGTTCTCAAATTAATTTTGTTTCATTTCATTTAGTTTAATATTAGCATTGTCAAAATTCTTATTGTTTTGACCGATTATCTTGTGATTTAGATACACTTTTTTATAAACACTTTACTCAAATTCCACTAGGCTTCGTCCATTTAGATTGATCAGTCATTTTTCACACTCATGATGTATTTTTATATTCCGTCACTTCACCTTCCTAATTTCCAGCACGTCTGCCGCTTCTGGGTTGCATCTCACATTATGCGACTATCTAGAAACATTTTCGTCGTAAAAGGCTTAGATTAACTGGTTTGTCCAGGAAAATCTCGTGTTTCGTCCGCTCTTCACACATGGGTAGAAATGATAACGGTGTTTTTAAATGCACTTTTGTGATTATTGCTGTCAATTGCCTAGTCGGAATGTAATTCCTGTCAACATTTACAAGGGAGTTATCAGTGCACTCCCATTCTAAAATAGGTCAAAAGTATTTGATACAATTACTGTACTGAGGATTTCCGTTAATAACGTAAATAAAGTAAATAATTAGCGGTGATGAAATCGAGAAAGATTAGAGATTTATATGTGAATCCACAACCTACTTACATGTTGTTAGTAGTTAGTAGGCTGTTTTTGTAGGTGGGTTTTCCCGTAGGTGCATGATAATTTATGCATTCTTAACCTAAAGACAATTTGGTAATAATATAAGTGAGGCTAGGCAACTTAAACCATGAGATGAATCTCAATAGCCAAACATTCAGAGGATGTTTCACGATACCACCTCTCTGTTTTCTGCATGAGTATGTTTGGCATTTTCTACTGAATCATTTCACTTAAAACATCGCATGGAAACCTTAGACGTCATACAGAGGGAGATTAGAAACTGATATAGTAACTTGAAAATCCCCATTGAGTCATATGAATTGGAGCAGACATTCAGCGAATAGTTTCGTTTCGGCGAATTCATTCAGATAGCTGTACAATCGCATTTATATTTGTGTGTGTGTTCATAGGGTTTGTCAAGTTTAGATAATTGATTAGTTAATACAAGAATGATGTAATATAGAAACAAAGTTAATCAGACAGCAACTAAAGTAAGATTGAGTCAGTAAGCTAGATGACGTAATATAATTGACTAAAATGTTTCAACTTAGATCAGGGCAGCAACAGAGGTAATTACAGGTAGAGACTAAGTAGAAGTGAAATTGAGCAAATAAGTTGGATGACGTGACATAAATGACTAGAAATTGAGCTTTGTTCAAGTCAGTAACAGTGGTAGTGAGGTGTAGAAATTGAATCGGGTGGGGGTAGAGAACAAGAAAGTTGAAAATGTAAAATATTACAATTGAGAAGACAAAATAATACTAATGAAGAGACAGAAGAAAAGATTAGGTAGAATTTACTTGTCGGCTAATAAGATAGATTACGTCCATTGCAAGTGTAGCGATTGAACGAACTTCTTCTGTATGCAGAGTTCAGGATTTAGCAAGTGAATCGCCATTGCTTCTGCAGTTTGAAGAAGTCTGATTCGTACACCTTTAGGAAGACTGCTTCTTACTCTGTAGACGACTTTGAAGTTTGTTTGCGGTGTAGCTTGGTGTCCGGATTCTATCAGATGTTCTAAGATAGAGCTGCGGGGGCATCGATTTTCTCCTTTGTAAAACCATGTTGGTAAGTGTTCGGTGATACGTTTGGAAAGCGAGCGCTGGGTACGGCCAACATACCTGGCTCCACACGAGCAGGTGAATTGATAAATACACATTGATGAGGCCAGTAGCGGTAGCTTATTCTTCGCGTTCACATGAATCATAGGTTTTGTGGAGAAGGTTAGTCGTAGTTCAGCTGCGAAGAAGGTCTTCTTAAGTGAGCGCGACAGTCGATTTTTTAGTGTTTCCGCAGATATATCTCCATTGAACTGAAGGTTCATGTAGAGTAGTTTTTTCGGGACGCTAAGCGTGGGCTGCTTTTCTGGTCTAGGATTCATAGATTTTGCAATAAATCTTTCTGGATAACAATTCTCGACGAGGATTCTCTTGAGGTTGTCCAGTTCAT